CATGTTTTCTCTGCATATCGACGTGTGCAAAACCCATGCAAAACCATGGCTGCGACTAGCGTTCTAAGGGGAATGAGATCTTTCTGGATTACACACATGCGATTTCGCACGGCGTTCACTCGGGGACAACTTTGGGTGGGACTTCTTGGGGTCGTGGCTGGGCGGCGTTCCTTGCGGAAAGCGGCTTGCAGGCAAAATGGGTGGGACTAGGGCCTTGCGCTGTAGGCCGTAAACCCCCAACCCTACACCCCATAAAGTCTAGGGTTTTAGGCTTCTAAACCCCAGACCCTAAACCCTAAACCCTCAAATACCTAAACCCTAAACCTCCGGGTTAAGTTTTCAGGCGGGCAACGGGATCAAGAGCCATCGGGCCAACCTCCGCGAGCTCCAGCGGAAGGGTCAAAAGATGCTCAGCCTGGAGGAGTGCCTTCGGCTCTGATTCTGGCTTGTAGCTTAGGGTTTAGCGGTTTAGGGGTTTAGGGTTTAGGGTTTAGGAAGTTTTGTGGTGTACCATGGTTTACCATAGTAGGACGGAAAGTTGCAATATCCTGGTAACTAAAGGACCTAAACCCTAAGACCTTAAACCCCTAAACCCTAAAGCAGTATGATGCGCGTATTCTACTGCCACTATTTTTTTCCGGAGCCTTGGAGCCTAGCATTGCTTGGGGTCGGCACTGCTGTTTCAGAGGCTTTGGGGCGACCCTCAATTTAAGTTCTCCAAACCCTAAACCCTAAACCCTAAATCCTAAACCCTAAACCCTAAACCGAACCTAAGTCCTAAAACTCCTACGGCCCAAAGCCCAAACCCGAGACCCCCACGTCCTAAAGCCACTAAGCCCTAAATCTGAGACCCGGCCAAAAAAAAAACGTGCTAAACCCTAAACCCCCTGAGCCCCAAACCCTGAACCCCCTCAACCCTAAACCCTGAACTCCCGAAACCCTAAACCCTACCCGGTTTTAGGGTTTATGGCCCTCAAGGTACAAGAAGCAGAAGGCCCAGCCGGAGAAGGAGAAGCCCAAGCCGGAGGCCGAACAAACAATGGCTGCAAATCCGTAGGACCCTTAAAGGCTCAGGGTTAGCACTGTAGGGTTTAGGGTTTAGGGTTTCCTAAAGTTGTAAAATCCCTAGAGCCCTGAAAGGCTCAGGGATAGAACTTTAGGATTTAGGGTTTAGGGTTTAGGGTTTCCTAAAGCTGTAAATCCCTAGAGCCCTGAAAGGAATAGGGTTAGAACTCTCGGGTTTTGGGCTTCCTAAAGCCCTAAAACTCTTCGGGTTTAGGGTTCAAGGCTCAGGGGTAGAACAGATCCTTATGATGGTAACTTCAAAACTCAAGCTCCTTAACCCGAAAAGCAGCCCTAAACCCTAAGCCCTAGCCCTGAAAGGTAGCTTCAAAGGAACTCCAAGTAAGTAAGTTCCTAAGTAAGAAGCCAGTTTAGTAAACCGAAGCCTGTAAGCAGCCTTCAACCCCTAAGCTCCTGAACCCTAAACTCTAAACCGTAGGACTTCCATGGGTTCTTCACCCTAAACCCTCAACCATTCTCAACCCGAAACCATAAATCAAGCTTCAAAAAACATACCCAGATTGTTCCTTAAGGTTATTCTTGCTTGTAAGTACCACCATAAGGGAGCTATTTTTTCCTGAGGGCTCCTGATTGTAATTACACCATAAGGGAGCCCACAAATCCTAATCCGACTCAGAGGGCTCTTACGCTCAGCCCCTGCAGTAACCCCTATAGACCCCTTGAGCCGAAACCCTTAAAGGAACCATATCCTAAATTTCTAAATTTTACATCCTGAACCATCCGAAACGTCCTAAACCCTAAACCCCCAACCCTAAACCCTAAAACATCCGAAACGTCCTCAACCCTAAACCCCTAAACCCTAAAGCCTAACCCCTAAATCCTACACCCTAAACCATCCGAAACATCCTAAACCCCTAAACCATAAACCCCTAAACCCTAAATCCCACACCCTAAACCATCCGAAACATCCTAAACCCTAAACCCTAAACCCAGTCCAGTCGCCCCAAGGCTGAGGAGGAGAAAACTCAGCCGGTTGGGCTTCGCCCCACGGCGAGCCTCACGGAGGCAGACGTGGCCTACGGCCTGGAGGTGGGAGGTTGGGGTCCTTTTTTCGGGTTTGCGGTCTGAGGGTATGCGGGCCGGCTTGAGGTCTTAGGGGTAGTGGCTTTAGGATTTAGATTTTGGGGGGGCCTGATTTCGGGTCTTTAATAGAGCCGGGTGCCATATTCTAGAATCCTTGCAGACGGATGCTGTTGACTTGCTTCTTGATTCTAAGGGCCGTTGTAGCCCTAGGCCCTAAACCCTAGAGTCCCAGGTCTTGCCGAAGTTGATGAACTTGCAGACCGTGCAGCTCATGAAAGGCGACCTCCACCTCTCCACGAAAGCCTTAGAGGGCTACATGGGCTTTCACCACCTCTTGCTCTCCATCCTTCGTCAGTACCCTTCTCTTCAGGCTCCTCAGTGCCAAACCCTGAACCCCAAAGAAACCCTACACCCTAAAACCTCCTCAAGACAGCCCAGGAAAAAGGGCCTTAAACAAAAAACCTCCTCTCCAGGCTCAGGTGGAGTCGAAGATCGGGACTTTCCTGCGCTCTGAGGCGGGCCGAACGAAGCAAAGCTGCCCGAACCTGGGGGAGTTCCTTTGCCTGCTGGCCGTTTCCAAGAAGTACCTTCGCGGCTGAATGAGTATGCTTTAGACTGGGTTTAGGGTTGAGGGTTCAGGGTTTAGGGTTTAGGGTATGCTTTACACGTTTTGGTGATAATATGATCCCCTACAGAAGTGAAAAGCTCAAACTGCTTCGGGCCTGCGGACGCAAGCAAGGTACACCTGGGACGACGTTTCTGCTGCTGTGCTCAAAGAGACGTTGGATCGGAACGCGAGCTGGGCTTTGGACAAGTACCCGTCTCTGGCTGGCTTCTGGGTCCTTCATGTAGGGTTTAGGGGTTAGGGGTTTAGGGGTTTAGGGGTTTAGGGGTTTAGGGTTTTGGATTTTGGGTTTAGGGTTCTGGGTCCTTCAAGTCCTGAAGGGCTTTGGGTTTGGAAATTAGAATAGGGTACCCTTTGAAGGGGTCTAGAAGTCGACCAAGGTTCGTGTACAGGGGCTTAGGATAGGGGCCTTAATAATTGGAAGAGGGGTTTGGGTACAGTCTAGAAATATACTGAGGAACCCTAAAACAGCAATATTGGTAATTATTCAGGCTTCGACAGGTAGTCATTAAGGCCCCTAAATTCGTCTTTCAAAGGGCTTTGGGAGGACCTTTAGAGGGTGCTATGAGGGCTCGAAAAGGATGTTTTGTTCGGGCTCTGCACGGGTTCACAAGCGCTGCTTTCCGGGTCTTAGAAGGGCTTTGATTGCTACATACCATTTGGGGGGGGTTCCTGCTTAGAACTCTAGTATACTCTACCCCCGAAACCCTATCCTAATTATCAAGGCCCCTACATGAAGCTGATTTCTGCAACCGAGGCTTTGGTACAAGCCCTGAGAACAGACTGGAGCGTACCTTCAAGGCCAGCATCGTCTCGATCCGACTTCTTTGCTTCAACGTCTGGTTCCTGCGCTCTTGTTTCGGAAACCTATAGCTACTTTAGTTAAGGGTTTAGAGATTAGGGTTCAGGGTTTGTAGAAATGGTTAAGGGTTTGGGTGCCAATAACGTTTTGACGGAAACGTTTTGGGCAGTTTGTCTTTTGGAACCTGATTTTGAATCTGGGGTTGGGGCAGGGGCTGGGGGCTGGGAGCTGAGTGGGGCTGCGGGCTGGGCTGGGGCTGCTGGGGCTGGGCTGGGGAAAGTGTTTTTTTTTAACGAAAATGAGAAAAATCAGCTTTCGGATGGCCAACAGCAACAAGCAATTTCTATTTATTTCTTTCTTGAGGGTTAAGGGTTTAGTTACTATATTGCTAAGCTACCATCGGACATGGGGATGCAGAGTAGATAATGGTCTACTGGCTTTCTGCTGAAAGGGTCTTGAAACGATGTGTTATACAGTGTTGCATGAGGTCTTCTCGGGTTTGGGTTTGTTCAGGATTGTATGAGGGGCTTGTGCTGGTTCTGAAAGTTGTCTAGAGCTGTACGGGCATTGGTTCAAGCTTCGATGTTGTTAGGGTACACAGTATCGTGGAAGCAGAGTTCCTTGTACTGCCCATGAAACCTTCAGAAGCAGGGCCCGAACCTGAACCCCCCCATAGAGCTTTAAAGCCCGTAGAGCCCCAAGAACCCAATCCTAAACCCTAAAGCCCCATAAATCCCCTAAAAGACGAGCTTTAGGGAGACCCCTTACAAGGGGACCCTTCTTGACCCTACTTATGGTTCTCTTAAAAGGGACCTTACTGAGAGGGTCTACATGCCCAAGGGTCCCCTAATCCTAACTCCTACCGCTAAACTCTAAACCCTAAACCCTAAAACCCCTATACCCTGAACCCTAAACTCCTATAAACCCTAAACCCGAATCCCTATAAACCCTAAACCCTGTAGCCCCGAAGAACCCGAGGTTCCTGCGCAACGTGGTCTTCAAACGCTACGGGGCGCAGGCAACTTCGGCGGAGATTCTTGAGGCAGAGCCTTGGTTGCCTAGTGCTAAGGGCTTTTGGGTTTAGGGATGTTTAGGGATGTTTGGGGAGGTTTGGGGAGGTTTAGGGGTTTCGGGTGTCATTAGGATTTAGGGCCGGGTTTCGGGTTGGGGCAGCCAAGTAAGGTGGGCTGTTCTTTCAGGGACCGAAGTGAAACTCTGGGCCCCGGGCCCTTATAGTTAAGCTTAGCAAGAGTTCTGCGTATTTGGCTAAAATTGAAGAGTGTAGGGAAAGGGTGGCCTATACCTGTCAGGGATAACCGGCATACCTTAAGCCCTAAGCCCTAAATCGTAAGCCTAAATCCTCTAAAACCCTATAAAACCCTAAGCCTCAAACCCTCTAAACCCTAAGCCATAAAATCGTATAAGTCCTAAATCGTAAGCCCTAAAACCCTACTCCCGGTCACTCTTGGCACCTAGGAGCAGCGGGGCGGCCCGAAGGTGAGCTGCACCGACATGCGCTGGGCGGAGTACGAGGAGCAGAAGCTCGGCCCATATGGGATTGATGATAGGGGTTTAGGGTTTAGAGGTTTAGAGTTTTAGGGTTTAGAGGTTTAGGGTTTAGTATTCTTTGGTGTTGCTTTATGGAATTTTAGGGTTTAGGGTTTAGGGTTTTTTTAGGGTTTAAGGGTTCTAAATGCGACGAAGCACATGGGTTAGAGGTATCGATCAGGATTCTACAAGGGTTTTGCAGAGGTTCTTGAGGCTACGCAGGTCAGCTCCAGGTTCTCGCAAGAACCCGAAGGGTCTTAGGAATAATGTACGTAGTCAAAACTTCCGGGGCCCAAATATCTACTAAGTGCCTGCTAGTTCGGTGCTGGGGCCTTTTGGGGAACCCAGGAAGGGCATTCCGCGGCCGGAGGAGATCAACATGCTACAGGAGCAGATGAGGAGGACGCTGCACGGCAACGGCCTGAACAGCTGGTCCGAGTATTTCGTGAACCTGAACCTCCAGCCACTCAAGGCGGATGAGCTTTCACAGCTGCTAGTCATGAGCCTCCACGATTCGGTCCGGAAGGGCTACATCCCTCTCTGGAAGATGAGGGCGCTTCAGCAGAAGAATCAGCAGGAGAAGGCTCCCAAGACCAACGACTACCTCGGCGCTGACATGGACAAGTACGACAGCATGCACACCACGAAAGGAGGCGGCGACAGATGGTGATGGATAGCAACAACCTTTGCAAGAGGCACCGAGGATGGATCGGCAAGAGCTGAGGGCAATGTTTCATGTGCAGTGTACAGATTCCCAGACAGCCTCATACTTAGCCGTGCTATCCAAGCTTCACTTTTCCCGTAGGGTACATCCATTTTGGCTTTGAGCCAAACAATATCGAGAAAATCCTATGAGCGACGGCTTTTATTTACGTCAATACTATGCTCTTTTGAAATGAGATACCTCCGTGCGGCAATTTATTTGTCAGAACTTCCTCTAAGAGGGGAACGATATAGGGGCACCGCATACAACGAGATCAGGTACATGTATGGCTGTAAGAGTTAAAGGGCTGCTACTAACGATATTTGAACAAGATCAAGTACTAAAAATGATGAAACAAGATAGGGGCACCGCTTCGAGATACCGCCATTCGCCTAAGCCGTAAATAAACACAACGACTCAAATGAATTCGATTCTAATGATAATCTGGCAAAATTTGAGGCAGATTCAAGAATATATATATACTATTATTCAAGATCTAAATGAATAATTTACAAATTGAGAAATTCTCATATTTTAAATAAATATGGATATATTTTCAAGACGTTTTTAATATTGAATATATATATATATATTTATATTTAGTTGAAAATATTGATTAAGATTAAGAATATATTGTTTGGACTTTTGATATAGATATCTAACATATAATCGAAATTATTTTTATTTATACATATATATATCTAACAATTTTGGAAGACTCTAAAGGCTCTCGAAAGGCTTAATAAAAGGTTTTCTAGACTTTATCATAGTAAAAAAAATCTCCGAAATAAGAAATTAAGAGATTCGACTTCTTAAATTTAAGAAATTGAGAGGCTTAATTCTTATTTTGAGGGTTTCTGGGCTTGCTTAATTATTAAGCCTTTTTAGAGGACTCCTTAACCTCTATTAGGGCTTTATAAATTAAAAGAACCACCAAAATATGAAATTGAGGGGCTCGATTTCGTAATTTTAAGAAATTGAGCCCCTTAGTTTCTTGTTTTTTTTGCACGAAAAAGAATGGCGAAGACAAAATAAGAAGAGCAAAAAAAGGAGATCAGGGTATCCTGGATTTCTTATTTTCAATTTGTGTATTTTTTCTAATTTGAATGTTGTCGCGCGGCTGTCCGAGGGGTTTGATTTCTTAAATTAGTGATATCTTAAGCAGTGCGACCACTCTATTAAAAAAGAATATATATATATAGATATATTTTTTTTCAAGGAGCCTTTTGACGAACCTAAAAAATATCTATGATTAAAAGATTTCGAATATATTAATTTGAAAATATGATAATATTGAGATTTGATTTATTGAAAATTAGTTAGTAATAAGAAAATATATGATGATTTAATGAAGATAATTAATAATTATATGATTCTATATTGAAATTATATTGATAAATATATTATATATTAAAAGATTCGCCGATTATTTTAGATAAATATTTGATAATATATTATTCTAGGATATATTTATTTTAGAAATCTATTTTCTATATGATTATTACTGATTTGGAATAAATATTCTTATCTAATTATTTTTATTTAAGGCATATTATAATTGATGAAATAAAATCATTCTTATATATTTTCTTTATGATTATAGATGACTTCGAATAATTAAAACCGAATCTATTTTATTTTTGATAAGAAATATATTCGGACCGAAATTTGGAATATATTTAATTTATATGATATAGAAAAATATTTATATTCAAGATTTTATAATTATGTATTTAATTTAAATATGATAAGAATTGAAAAATTCTAAAGAATTTATTTTCGAACAAGAAATCATCTCTAAATATTGAGAATAGTATTGCTGGGAGCTTTCTATGATCTAAATAAGTTGAAGAATTTTCTTGCTCGTCAGGCATAGTCTTATTAATCTTATCTTATCGAAATTCTGCTTCTTTGGAATCATATTTAGATATAATATTATATTCAATTCATTTATTTACCAAATGATAAGTTTTGAAATTAAATCAAATTACATATAAGAAACATTATTTCTCCTTATGATGAGGTCTTATTAATCATATCTCAATTTTCTGTCTAGCTTGATAATCTAATATGGATAATATCTATTGAATATTTTTAAATCGATAGCAATTATGTCTTATATCGTAATATGATTTTTGGATGAATAAATTTGTATATTCCCGATAGACCCAGGTCTTATTTCTCAATAAGATTATTAGATGATTGAATTGATATATCTCCGATAGAAGTCATATACGTTCCATATTATATTTCTCAGGTGAATAATATATAAATGTCTATTCATGAAATATATATTCATATAAATTGCCTTGTCTCTTATAAATCCTATATGTTGGACTGATCTGATTATTAGAAAGATTCTATATTATGAATTTGTTTTTTTAAATCGCGATAATATATATGGTCTCGGGAATATACGAATTCTCGTATATTATTATTCAATCAATCGATTGAATATCGATTATCTAAGATCATCTATTCTCTTAGTCTTTGCTTATCTTTATTATAACTTCGATCTTCTTAAAATATTCATGAATCGAAATTTCGAATTTAAGAATTGATGTCATATTAATAAGATAGATTTTTTCATATGATTCATCTCATAATCAGACCTTCTCAAAATTAATAATTTATTTCACTTGAATTAAAAATTCAATCTAAATTTTATTTCCAAAATCCAAGATCCCAAAATTGTATTTATACAAATGTCGGATTTTTGGACTTTGGGATTTTGTAGGAATTTTGTTCCCTGGGGTTGCGCATGCCTTCTGCACGCCCTTTGCAAATGGAGGTTTGTGTGATGCTTTCAATCTGGTGCAAACCTTAAAGGGGGGGGGGTTAATTAATTTTAGGGAATTTAATTCCAAAGTATGATAGTATGATCAGAGTTTTATATGATATATTATAGTGATAGAAATTAATTCCTCGACAAACCTAGATTATCATTTTGAATTGAATGAGTTCTTAAATTTCAAAATCTCCAAATCTTTAAGTCCTAACTCTCTGCCCTTGGGGTTGGAAGAATTGAAATAGGTTCTTGGATCTTGATACGATATATTATTTTTTGGACTTCTAAAGGTATATAGAATCTGATGAAAAATGATCAATGCGGAGGAGGCTTGGGACCTGAAAATTATGATTTAATTATTCGTGTCGATTTCTTACCGGCATCGCCACGAATAACAACGCCGAACATCGGAGATTCGGAAAATTGGGCATTTTTAGGGCAGAGATTTAGATATTCCGGGATGAGGCATACGAGATCTCTGGGGCCACGATCTACGATATTAAAATCAATTATTTTAAATCTTAATCTTTTTATCTTAAATTCTAAACTATATATCCAACTTAAGATTTCGTTTTATATATTTCAAGTACTATGATATATAAATTCATTATTTGTTTCATAATGAAAATTTCTAATTCCGAATGAAATTTCATTTTTAGCTATTGAAAATAGCAAGGACCCTAGATATTAATATAAAGATCTAATTTAGAATTATTATATTTTTATACTAGAAATCATAAGAATTATAAAGAAAATAAATATTCTATAGTATTCATAATTTTATATATTAATCATATATAATTTGAAAATTTTCTATGATATTCATATATAATTAAATTATAGATATTGGCGATCTCAAGAAATTATAAATTAGAATATGAAATTTCATCTTAAAATTTCTAGTCGTCTATATCTCTCTCTTTCTCTTTCTATCTCGTTATCTCTCTATCTTCTCTATCTATCTATCTCCATATCTCTCTGACTATTTATGAATATATATATCTTCTCAGAGATCTAATTCCATCTATCTCTTTATTGGATAAAATCAAATTATGAGATTCTTCTATATATTTTTTTAATATAGATTTTTTTAATATATTCATTATTATTCTTTTTCTAATAAGGCTTATTCGATTTCTATAAATATTTTTGTTCTAAACAACAATATTTGCTCATTGCTAGATTCTTTCTTTAGTCGATTTATATCTTCTTAAAGATAAGAGATCAAGAATGCCTAAACCTAAATCCATATCTCATCTATAAATTAAAGTATTCATTAATTGCCGATATATTCAATCAAGCAAAGCAAATGTATATCAAATATAAATATTCTCCTACTTCGTGTCCTCAATTCGATAAGCACAAAATAGATTTATTAATTGTAATATCGATTGCTCAGAATCGAAGATGTTTTATTAAATTTTAAATTCGTTAAATATTCAATCAGAATTTAGAATAAGCAATAATTATATCAATACTTCTAAATAAATATAAACGCTCATAAATAAAAATATTCGATCTATTCTAATATCTCATAAATTTCATTAAAATATAGTCTCAATTATTATGTAATCAAAATATTTAGCTATCTATATTTCTTATTCGAGAAAATAATATGAATATAGAAAAAATATACATATCATATATTATGAAAATAAAAGTTTGGATTTTATATATATATATATATGAATTCAAAAATCTATCAGATATAGATATCCCAACTCGTAGAAATCATGAGCCCAGTCCCTAAATCTTAAACCAACCCGATATCCTCATATTCGCTTCACGTGTCTTTTTTCCATGAAGGATCCCGCGGGTCGGATTTCAGAATCTCCGAAAGGCAAAGCGCATTGCTTCTTTTTTTGTTGTTACGGCATTGAGTATTGCAGGTTTCAGGATTTCGGGGTTTGGTTCAGAGTTTAGGCTCCGGGATTTAGAGGCTAGGATTGGAGTGTTTGAGGATTCAAAGCTAAGCTCTCGCATTGGTTCGATTGAGACCATATAGGGATTTCCGAAAATAGGGGAACCTAATATAGGACCCTAAATAGTAGGATCCTTATTATAAGGACCCCATATAAGGTACCCTAATTTTCGGAAACTCCCATATGCATACGGACCACCCTGTCCATACAACAGAGGTAGGAAGCCCCAAGAGCGGTGAGGCCAAGAGAACGAACGA